GCAGTAGTAGTAGTAGTAGTAGTAGTAGTAGTAGTAGTAGTAGTAGTAGTAGTAGTAGTAGTAGTAGTGTTGTTGTTGTTGTTGTTGTTGTTGTTACTGTTATTTTTTGTTATTATTATGTTATTATTATTGCTATTATTATTGATATTTCTAATACTGGTAGTAGATCTATCTGCCATTTACTTTATTTTTAATTATTTAAGAAATGGACGCCCTTTGCTTATTTTCCCCACCAGCTTAGCCAATCACCAACACATGTCCATGACGTCACCACTACAACAGCGAGAGGATTGGTCATCCCTCCAGGCGTTCCAACCCTCCACGCTCCAGCGAGCGCTGTCACATGACGGGTTGGAGTTCAGATCTCAAATCTTTTGTTCAATAACACCAAAAAAGGAAGCGACTCCGCCCTAGTGACTCGTTGGCGTGGGTTTGACGGCCATCTTTGTCAGCTGACCAGTCTGCCTCAGTTTCATTGAAAAGTCAGTTCATGTTGCCTTTGTTCATCCCCTGAGCGGACGTTAGTTTGACGAAGTCTGTGTATGTGAATGTTTGTCGATAACATCACGTCTCATTTCTTCAAGTTTTTGTGGACATTGTCGCAAAAAGATTTTCAAAAAGGATTTGTTTCCTGTGGTTTCATGTGAAGTACACGATAGACCTTCACGATATTAATCCAAGGGATTGTTTCACCCGTTGTTGTGTAACACGTGTTCGGTATCCTCAGTGACTTTCTATTTCGACGGTTAAGTTATATGGTAAAAAGACTTTCTGTGTTCTGTTCATCGCTGTTTATCCACAACTGACGTCATAGAACCTTCTTCTGATTACCCACAACTGACGCCACAGAAGCTCTTGTTGTCATCAAAGCCTTCAAGATCAAGAACTACGAGAAAGAGCACGAGAGTACCCAGCACTGACTGCTATTGCTAAAACCGTGAGTGTCATTGATGAAATATTTCTTGTAGATTATTGTGTAGAAAGTTAACGCCGGCTGGTGGAAAGTTTTCTTCTTCTTCTTCTTCTTCTTCTTCTTCTTCTTCTTCTTCTTCTTCTTCTTCTTCTTCTTCTTCTTCTTCTTCTTCTTCTTCTTCTTCTTCTTCTTTACACGAGTTTTCCTCCCCTCACCCAGGTGGAAATGGGAACCCGGCCATAGATAGCGAAAGATCTTTTCAGTATGTTAGTGTTTTAGCGCCTATAAATGGCCGCTTGCACTGTATGCTTCCCAGGAAGTTGATGTTGTTTCAGAATGCTCTCATGTCTGCTGGGGTAATAGTATAGATTGTGAAGGGCATAGAGCCTGCTGTTGAGCGGGGATTTGTGCTATACAAATGCTATCTATTATTATTATGATGACGTACAGTGTGACACGTATCATGTAGTCATACTTTGTATTTTAAAGGTACAAGAGGGAGTGAATTGTTTTCTCTTTCTGTACAGCTCCTTGCTTGTGTGCAATATTTGGGCTTTTGAAATATGCAATTAACATGTATTCAAAATGGATTGTTACTTGATTGAACCAACGGAAAGAGAATATAAACTAAAACATTTTCCAGAAATGCCCAGTAAATATGTTAACTTTCAACTTCTGGACGCACAGAAAAAAAAACTCACAAAAAAAAACAAGCGTGCCTTTGGAAAGTGCCTTTCGTATCAATATATTATAATTATGAAGCTTTAAAAAAAAGACTTGTGCTCGAAATGACAAGTCAATATTGTCATGTTTAAATCTCAATGTAACCATTCCGTTCTGAAATTGCAAGCTTTTCTTCTTTTTAGGGGGAGGAGAGGTTGGAGCGGAAAGGGGGGGGGGGTTTGCGACTGTTGTAAGTGTAAATCTACCAAGTGTATCAGACAAGAAACATAGCAGTGCAATGGTGAAATAGAAAACATGTGAAAACTGAGTGCCGTTGAGAAAACACAACGACGTGTCAGCGGACAAAGATGGCCGACAAACCCACGCCAACGAGTCACACGGGCGGAGTTCGCTTCCTTTTTTGATATTATTGAACAAAAGATTTGAGATTTTAACTCCAGCCAGCCATGTGACAGCGCTCGCAGGAGCGTGGAGGGTCGGAACGCCTGGAGGGATGACCAGCCCGCTCGCTGTCGTCACTCATCTCACTAGGTTTGTGTATGGCAGAAGTCCGTACCGTTGTTGGGGGAGGTTGAGGGCAGGGATTATGACAGTATATACGCCTCCCTAACCAGGAGTTGAAATTTTGTTACCGCGCTCATATGACCTAAGCAGTTGCGAGCGCCGTAAAACCCTATACTGCATAGCCTGCTGAACTTGGGTAAACAGTGGGAGGGACTAAGCACCGTAATCGTTTCTTTCATTGGGAGGGACTAACATTAACGAAAAGTGAATGGATTATGGCGGCTCGTCCACAGCCAAAGGGGCCGATACAATACGATTAATCGCAGCTCGTCGGGCGATGAAAGATCCACGTGATCATCATAGTTTTATTTAGTTTAGTTTTTTTTCCCTGTTGGTTGATAGAGTTTTGATATAGCGGCCGTGTTGGACATGTCACTCTACGCAATGCCACTTCATAGGTTGGGGGAGGGGGGGGGGGGGGGGGTAAATGAAATGTTCAACAAGGGAAGCTGTGAAAGAACAAATCTTCTCAAAATCCAAGAAAGCGACAACCAAAAAAGGGCCCCCCCCCCCCCCCCCCCCCCCTACACACACCACCCTAAATATTGACTCAGAACAGGAGCTTGTAAGCTTTCTCGCTTATTGTAGATCAAATGTTCCCAATGTTCACGCATTTAACAAGCATTAGTAAGGAGTCTTAAATTCGGCAATCAAATTGAGAAAGAAATTGTTTCCATGGATTACGGTGGCCAATAGAGTTATTTTCAAGAGGTATATAGGTCTAGAAAAACCACGCTTCGAAAAAACGAGCGATAAAGAAAAATAAAAGATTGACTTTAAGAGGAAATGGTGGTGGCAAACATTCCCAGTACGAGAAGAAATATGGCTTTAGGGGGGTTCTTATACGATGAAATAATTGTAAGAGAGGCTGAAGTAGCTAAAAATGCATACAATTCAAAATCCATAGTTTTGATCCGAATCATGACTTTCGAGGTGCAGCTCCCCCCCCCCCCCCCCTTAAAATGGACAATATAAATGGACCACCAATACTTAAAACAGAAGTACAAGGTGTCATCAAGAAAATAAAACAAGGAAAAGCATCAGGGTCAGATAATATCCCAGTTGAAGTGATTGTCACGCTAGAAGAATAGGCACTGAAATAACAACAAAGCTCTTACATTTTATCTATGACAGTGGTGAGATTTCAGAGATATGATTACTCAGTTATTTGTTGTTGGTTTGTTTGTTTGTTTATTGCTGGGTTTTTTTGGGTGCTTTGTTTTGTTTAACCTAAAACACCAGGTGTCACTGTGCGTGAGATCTATAGAATGATAAGCCTTATAAGTCATTTTACAAAAAAATCTTGCTGCTAGAACTATTGCCATTGTCAAAGACAGTTTCAATAAAATGAGCCGATTCATGAAAAATAGAAATATCTAAATGACCGCAAACATGAAAGTTCTAAAATATTACGTGTGGTCAACCCTTATATTTTATGACTGTAAATGCTGGCCAATCACCAAAAACAGTAAAAAAAATATGATAGAAGCAACAGACACGTGGTTTCTTGGGAAACTGTTGAGAATTTAGTGGCAGAAAAAGAAATCAAATGTTGTACTTAAGAAAGCCCACTTGGGCCGCTCGTTTCTCGAACTCATGAATAGAAGACATGAAGACGCCATTATTGGACGCCTTTTGCACAACATAGAGCTACAAGTTGTAAAAAACAGTGAGCCAGTTCTACTCCATACCATGAATCAATTAACTAAAAATTGCCTTTTCTTTTCTTTTTTTCCAAAAGTTTCATCATGCCACAAAACTCACCGATGAAGCAAAATCACTTCATAGTTCAACTGACGCCACCCGTACCATGGATCAACCCTGCTGGCTGGTCAGCTCACTCCGTCCCCGTCCCTTCATTCAGCGACATTGGTCACCAGCTGGCCGAAAACATGGCTCCAGAACCAGCAGACTGCCAGCCACCAGGTAAAAGACGGAGAATGGAATCTGAACCGTCCCCCGATGGTGTGGAGTCCAGTGTCAGCGGTTTCGGGTTACACCCCTTCTCAAGTAGTCAGACGAAGAATGCTGGTGACGTCAGTAGTGGTTATGATCACGTGTCCAAGATGTCGATGGAAACCCAGTTGTGGTGGCGCCTTCGTGAACAGGTGCTGAGAGAAAAGAGAGACAATTCGCTGCATTGTGGGACGGTGGAGACCGGAGCTGTGGACTGGGAAAAGGTGAGCTGGATTTCTGTACTTTTTTATTGTTACGCCTCTCTCTCTCTCTCTGTCTCTGTCTCTCTGTCTCTCTGTCTCTCTGTCTCTCTCTCTTTCTCTCTCTCTCTCTCTCTCTCTCTTTCTCTCTCTCTCTCTCTCTGAAGGGGAACGGTAGGCTTAACATAATATTTCTAAACTACTTTTCAGAAAAAGCAAAACAAATTTCGTTCATTTCAAATTTATTTGAGGCAAAGCACAATATTCTTTTCTTGAATGATCTCTGTCAGACGTGGTGGGGTTATATGCGAAAAAAATGGGAGGGTGTATTTTGTACCATTCGTGAGAGTTGTACTGCTTCAGTAAGGAGAGGCTGTATCAAAAGTTGGAACTAAATTCTACATGTGTATTCCGCGTTTGTCTTAAATCCCAACATATAGTCTATGATTTACTTGTACAGCCACAACCTGATGTATACTTCCTACTTCCAGGTCCAAGCTGTGTCTGCTCCAGTGTTCTCTCTTGTCGGCGCCTTCGTGGCAAACTTTCAGGAGGAATTTTACACCGACAGATTTTCCCTGGAAGAGCGAGTTTTTGTAAGTAATTACGTCACATGATGGGTTAGAGACTGGGCTTTCATAGATCTAAGATAGCCTAGGTTAGGTTCTTATCTTTTCAGTGCTGTCTATTTATTTAATTTTATTTCTTACTTAAGGCTGGATCTTCAAATCATCGTGTATAGAAGTCTTAGAATTGAGGAAGGACTTTTTATGCATGATCTTTATGACCGTGTCTTTGACATGGATTCGAACGAAGTCCCCTCTGATATTACAGGACAGTTCCGTGTGCCTGCCACCAAGCACAGAATGTCGTTCAGGATACAATAATATGTGTGAGCTAGTTGGTGTATCTATCTATCTATCTATCTATCTATCTATCTATCTATCTATCTATCTATCTATCTATCTATCTATCTATCTATCTATCTATCTATCTATCTTTTGAATTACTAATCTTATTCTTTAATTCATTGTTTACACTTATCGAACAGGATTTATTACCTTGAAATTATAGGGAGCACATTCAACAATTTTATCTTTCGTTTCTAACAGCTCAAGCACTTGTGCACCGAGTGCAAGATCGAGACAACTGACCAGCTCTGTAACAACGACAGTGTGGTCACACTCAGGAAGACAAGGTGAGCTGTCCTGTAAGCTAAGCTTGGTGTTAGATACGATTGTTTTGAAGTAAGATTTATTTTGCCCTCAAGCACACTAGTTATATAACATAACGTCTTATCAGTTTGTTGATCTAGTTGAAATGCTCTCCTTATCATTATTCGTTGTTGTTGTTATTATTATTATTTTTATCATCATCATCATCATCATCATCATCATCATCATCATCATCATCACCATCATCATCATCATCATCATCATCATCATCATCATCATAGTATTATCACTTATCAGTATTATTGCCATCAGTAGGGCTATTATTATTAAATGGTTTTTGTCGCCTTTCATCTTACAGATTTTGTTGTATGTTTATTGTTTCAACAGTGAGACTCTTTTTCCCACTGAGCAAGTTTTCCAACGCGTTCTGATGACCCTCCAACAATCACAAACAAGGGTCGGGCTGGGACAAAGCTTCTGACAGCTGAACGACGACCGGAACCTGGGAACTTGACATGCAGCTCGAGAGAACAGACAGACAGACTATAAATAGTTCTTGGCAATAACTTATTTGTATTTGCAAAACTGTTCGATTTTTGGTCATTAAAAAAAGACAAATGTTTATAGAGACTGATTTCACTTCCAAACTAGTTACTGCTTAAAGTGCAAAAATATTTTTAAGTCATGTTTAAGATTTTTAGTTGAAACCTACATTTGTATCTACCATCTCACGGAAAACCAGTTAATGCACGTAGTACCTTCGTCATTCCCTGAGTACTTTCAGCCTGCTTCCTTTCAACAGTATCAGGCAGAAATCTGTGTGGAGACAGAGACAATTTTCTTACTTTCTATAGCAGGTTTTGTCAGACATTTGCTTATTATTGTGTATTATTTCACTCTAGTATTATCATGCATTAGTGATCTCGACTGCTTTGTATTTCTTAATTTTTTAAAAATATCATACTCTGAATAAGAAATCCAGAATGTGAATTCGAATTTTATATCTTAGAAAAAAATAGTGTTTAGAATGTAATAACAACTTTATTGTATAAGCCCCTCACAACCCCCCCCCCCCCCCCCCCGCCCCCCCAAAAAGAAGCAAAAAACAAAACAAACAGCTAAACAAAAACAACTATTATTTCACTCTTCTGTGTCTTTTTACATGTTCTTTTTTTTTAACTGAATTTATTTGCGGAATACCAATTGTGAGACTATTGCTGGAATAGACTGGGGACTTTGAGCACTTTGTGATTATTCAAAAACTGTGTCATTAGATACTCTTATTGTACAGATTCAAATTTCCGAGAAAAAAAAACCCAATACGAATGTCAATCATTCTCTTCTAACAAACGCATTATTACAGCAAAAAGTCACTTCTTGGTGTTTTTATAAAGAATTTAACCTGACCTGGTGAAGGACAGGATAAGAACAGTTCTTTGTTGGCAAGTTGTCTTAGAATTGTACATAATTGAATAACATTATCAACGAGTGGTATATCGTAATTACGACTGATATTTTCGACTGTCTAGTGTTTCACAGCTTTAATGGTCATAAGCAACATTGTACAAAAGGAAAACATAATAAACCAGAAATACCAAGATACAATCCCTTCTAATTTGAAAAATCTCTAAAGAATATGCTCTTCATAATATTTTGTAAATATTCACAGGAAAACAATGTGTGATCACGATGGTACATTTTGATACTTCCATAAAGAGATAATGTCTGATCAGTTTACGTTGAAGACATTAACTTTTGCTTGTGTCAAATTTTAAAAACACTTGTACGATATTGATCACCATGCCCTGAGTTAGTTATACAGCATCGGAAACTGATATCTTAAAAATAAACACTGCTTTGAATGTAATCACAACTTGCAATAATCATATAAGCCACTCTCCCCCCCCCCCCCCCCACACACACACATACACAAAAATGTACACAAATAAAACAAACAAAACAAAACAAAAAACATAGAGAAAATCTTAGTTGTCTCAGTATTGTACAAAAGTGTTCAACATTATCAGAGAGTTGTAGAACATAATTGCAACCGATATTTGAGAAAGTTTAGTGTTACTGTAGCTGTAATGGTTACAAACAATATTGTATATTATAAAGAAAGAAAACATGATAAACCTGAAAGAGCATTCTTCAATTTTTCTAGTTTGAGATGTCTGTGAGAGAATATTCTCCTGATACGTTCACATTCACAGGAAAAAATGAGTTCAAGATACTATATTTTGATACTTCCATAAAGCGATTTGTTTGACCAACTTAACTTGAAAACAATAACTTTTGCTAGTGTCAAAAAAAAAACACCAACTCATTTTCATAATTGTACATTATTGATCATTGATGAACATTATCAGCGAATGGTATATCGTAATTCCGACTGATATTTTAGACTGTCTAGTGTTACACAGCTTTAATGGTCATAAGCAACATTGTACAAAAGGAAAACATAATAAACCAGAAATACCAAAATACAATCCTTTATAATTTGAAAAGTCTCTAAAGAATATGCTCTACATTTGTTAATATTCCCAGAAAATAGTGTCATCATGATGGTACATTTTTGATACTTCCAAAAAGAGATAATGCCTGACCAGCTTATGTTGAAGACATTAACTTTTGCTTGTGTCAATTTTGTAAAACACTTGAACAAATTGATCATCATGCCCTGGGTTAGTAATACAGCATCGGAAACTGAAATCTTAGAAATAAACACTGCTTTGAATGTAATCACATTTTGCAATGATTGTATAAGAAGGAAAGCATGACAAACCAGAAAGAGCACGCTGCAAACCTTCTAGTTTGAAATGTGTTTTTAGAGAATATTCCCCTGATACCTTCATATTCACAGGAAAAATATGTTCAAGAAACTTTATTTCGATACTTCCATAAAGCGATTTGTTTGACCATCTCAACTTGAAAACAATAGCTTTTGCTTGTGTCATTTTTTAAAGTCATTGTCATAATTGTACATTATTGATCATGACCCCCTGAGTTAGTAATCGAGGATATGTATTCGTAACTGATATTTTAGAATTCAATACTGATTTGGATGTAATCACAATTTGCATTAATTGTATACTCATGTCCTTCCCCCCCCCCCCCCCCCACACACACACACAAAAACGAACAAAAATGATAAAATAAAGAATGCAAATTTAACAACTAACATAAGAGCATCAAAACAAAAACAAAACAAGAAACACACACACACACAAGAAAAACTTGAAAAAAAATGATTTCACTTTTTATAGCTTTCTCAAATTACATTTAGATACTTCTGACGTAATATTGAAGTCATTTTAGCAATGTATTTTGTATGTTCTGTGATCAAATGCTTTAACTACAGTAACATACTATCATTTAATTTAATCAAACTTAGTTTTATTGTCTTGGTTAGCCCATGGATTTATTGGACTCCTTTTGAATTTGCAACATTCTCGGTTTCTCTTTTGATAGGTTGTCTGTATGCCTCGAATTTTTTACTACACATTTAACCTACTAATTTTTAATGTTCTCTTTTCAAACTAGCAGCTGAGGAAAACTATCTGAAGTCAATAATTCTGTCCTTGAAAGTCAACGCTTATTAATTGTCAATGTGTCCAGTTCAACATTATAATGTATATTTATGTTTTGTTTTCTTTCTCCTTTCGTATTTTCAATGTTTTTAATAAAATTTGTTTTAAAAAATTAAAACCCACTTGTTATTGTTTTATTTATGTCATATATTATCAAGCACATAATATTTGTTTTCATGCTTCTATGTTGCTATTTTCACGTGGTTGTTTTTTGTTTGTTGCTGTTTTTATTATTGTTGTTTTCGTTGTTATTGTTGCTGTTGTTGTCACTATTGCTATGTTTGTTATTGATTTTTGCTGTTGTTTTTGTTGCTGCTCCTGGTTTGTTTGTTTTGTTAAGTTACTTTGTCACCACAAATAAAGACGGATCAGAAAAAAACAAAACAACAACAGCATCAACAGAAGCAGAAGCATCACCAACAACAGATAAAACTGATTGCAAAAGACCCTCCGACATCCCACAAGCGGACGAAGGAATTATACACGGCAATAATGTCCTTAAAAAGGGAGGTACACATTTAGTCCCGTGGCGACCAGTCACTACTGGCAAAAATCAGAACTGGTCACTTCTCTGAGTTGCGAGCAGACAAAAATAGAATAAACGAAACATCAGACCCAATTTGTTTATGTGGAGCGAGAAGCCCCAAGATCTGGAGCACTGACCACTGACAGCAGAGATGCTCCTCCCGCTACAGAGGTCCAGCGGTGTCATCTCTTTCGGGAAGGTTTCAGGGAGGTTGGACTATTTCACCCACTACATGTACCTAAGAGAGGCGGTGACCATAGCGAAGAGCACGCTCTTTGGGTCTCTCTCTTTCTCTCTCTCTCTCTCTCTCTCTCTCTCTCTCTCTCTCTCTCTCTCTCTCTCCCTCTCTCTCTCCCTCTCTCTTATACACACACATACACACACATAATAACAACAGCAACAAGAAAAACAACAACAACAACAAGAAAAACAAAAACACCACTTCCACCACCACCACCACCACCACCACCAACAACAACAACAACAAGTTAATTTCCTGAACACAGTTTCTCACTGCAACTTAGATCTTAAAAACATACATGTTGTGAAAGGCCCATCAACAATGATAAACGACAACACATTGAGAGTGGCTTTTAAATTACCCAAGCGGTTGTGAGTCACTGTTTCGATTTATACTTTCATGACTCATGGAGGAATGCAGACACAAAATACCTTGTGAATGAAGAATTGTTATCAATTATAGTCAAACCTGTGTAAAACAGCCACCCAATGTCAAGGAGAAGATTGGCCATATAACACATGTGGCCGTCCTAGGCAGGATTTGATCAAAATGAAGAATGCAAATCATTCTCTTCTAAGGTCCAAACCGGAGATGATCTAAATTTAAGGCTTAGGACTGCCTTAAAATTCAAAAGGCTTTTTGTTTTCCTTTTAAAAAGAGGGGTGGGTGGTGTAAGAAGGGTGGGGGTTTTGTTTTCGTTGTTGGTTTTTAAAAAAATATTTATTATTTTGTTGTTGTTGTTGCAAAGAGTGACCACGCCTGGTCGTCAGAGGCAAGTAAATTTAACAGCTGGTTGATAAAAATGATAAAATAAAGTGGACGCGGCCGCGTTGGACAGGTGACTGTTTTACACTGTTAAATTGTATAGAAAAAACGCAAGGGGAGAAATGGAAAGTGGTCGTTTGTACAGATGGCCGTATTATACAGATGACCGTCATGGCAGGTTTGACTTTTACCTTAAAAACAATCTAACAATGTTTCTAATCAGTAGTTGCTGGCAACTCCAGTATTAGACAATTCATTGTTTAGTGAGCAATAGAGGTAAAATCGCTCACTTTACGTATGTCTTCTCCATTTAGCGAGATAGTGTAAAGGTACTATTATTAGCTGGAGAATGTGTTACAGTTAAGATGAAATAAAACACCCACTCTAAGTTGGAAAAAAAACCCGGACAAGGCGAGACAAATTAAAAAGTTTTCATACACAAACGGTGGCTTTTATAACATGTATTTAGAAAAGGATGTTTGGTTGTGTTTTTTTCTATT